TTGCTGAACATCTTCTTGAAAATTTCAGAAGTTGTTACCAAGTCGGAAGGAAGATTTAGTATTGGATTAAGTACTTATTGGAATGACACCGAGTGAAGATAAAAGACTGAATAAATATTCATCAGTAAATTCTTAATCAATAATTTATTCAAGAAGGTGTGTCATTAGGAGGAATTTGCCGGTGTTACACATAGAGGAGGAAACTAAGTCTCTTTATTTCCATAAATAATATGGAATTATTTTTTTTTTTAGTCACAATTTGTAACAATTAGCTGTTACAAGGAAATTGATGACTTATGTAGAGGATGGAAAGATTTCATATTCTTTTGAAATTAGACAAAGAAGTCGGATTGTCATTAACTTATCTTAAAGAAGCAGGGTGTGTCAAAGATAAGATGATGAGACCAAACACTTATATAAAGATGAGGTGCATGGTATATATGGAAAGGTCGTAGTTTGTTGACTTTTGTTGAGTTAAAGTCATAGTTGACTATTGATAAATGGAATTACCGATTGATTTTCAATATCGGCAAGTTTATCACGGATCAGTGGTGGATAGATTTAGTTATAGAATTCGCTTTTAAAGATGCTCCAATTTAAACGTTGGGTACAGACGAAAGCTAGTGATACCAGACTAACAGTACTTTCTATAGACAAATTGAATGGAGGATGCACGGACTGAGTTTCACAACTTTTAGTTCTTCATCCTGGTGGAAACATGATGCTTTACGATAGGCAGGAGAAGGGACATAGTGATTTATCTCCAAGTCTAATATTTATTAGATAGTAGAGATGGACCATCAAAGATCACTAGATCCTTTGAGCCATTTCCTATACTAAAGTGGAAATGAGAGAGCATTTTACAGATTTAGTTGCGGGATTTCTGATTTTACACAAGGGTCAGGATTCTGGATGGGAAATTGGTTGACTAATACATTAGGTCAGCTTGATTCTTGTCTATTTCGAACTGCTAGGACTTCAGTTCATACGAATAGAATGGATTACAAGACGGTTTAGATGGATTATAGTGGTGATTCACACTTTATATCAAGTTCCGTCTGGTGGAAGCAATGATGTAAATGGATGCTCTCAACAAACGATAGAATATTTAAATCTTTCGATTAGTTGGTAAGTTATCAGATGCATTTATAGCAAGTGTAATAATAACACTTGCTATTATTACGGTAGTTGAGAATGTCAACTTTGAATATTGGAGCTGACCTTAGAGACGGTATTACCTTACTCAGATGGAGTTTAAGGTACTCGAGGAGGATTTAGTAGTTTCTGTAAATAGTGATATGACGATCGGGCGACTGAGCTGGAAAGTTTATAATTTTTCTCGGTGTGCTCAGATGGTTAGAAGGTACATCATGACATCAAATGTCGGTTTTGGTGAACAGATACGGATAAGGATGCATATATAATTGCCGTAAGTGTAAAACCTGCTACAAAGGTGGAAAGTTGATCATCAGATATCGTAGGAATCTTTAGCCACTTCCTATAACAAATATGGAAGTTGAATTAAATAGGAGTGACGGTCGGTGGGAAGGATCGACATTGATTTGGAATTTCAATTTTCCATATGGAATCCGAGTGGTGGATTGAGAAAGATCGCTTGAGGATATAAATTTGAGTGATGCTTATTTTAGAAATTCATAGTAATTCTATAGTTCAGTGATAGTGGTGTTATAGCATGTGGATGTCCATTATAATGGATGCAAAGTGCTATTTCGAAGGAGCTTTATAACGATTTTGGAGCAGCAGTTTTGCTTCATATCTATAGACAGAGGAATTAATCGAGAGATTAAATTAGACCATAAAGGATATGCTTGAGGCATATATCCTATGTTTTCATGGACAATTGGAAGCATTTACTTCGCTTTTCAGTTTTTGTCTGTGGTATTGTTGGCACAAGGAGGTTGGGGTGACAACATTTAAGGTTTTGTATATTACCTCGTAGATACCTCTCATTTGTTGGTTTGAAATGAAAGCAAGGATTGTACAATCAGACCTTGACTTCATTTAAAAATATGCCGGAAAGAAAAACTTTCCTTTGTATTGAACTGCGCGTGGTTAGGAGGCGACAGTGGGCTGTTGTAAATAGTTAAACTCGTATACTGGAGTTTTTCTATCAAGGAGTAGTTTGCTCGTTCTGTTTTCCATGTAGGAAGAAAGACGATTTTTGGAGAAAGGTCAATTTTATTTATTACATTGACTTTTAGAGGATTGTGTTTCGCAATTGAGGCAGTCGCCTATGAATTAGCGTTACCAAATTATTAGCGCTAGGTGCATAGGAGTTTGTTCGTATATTCTATGGCACTTGGAGCTATGTAAATCATTCCCTTGTCGACATGGGAGGATTACGTTGTTGTTTGATACAACCTATGCATTGTATGATTATTGTGTTTCTTAAAATATAGGAACCCTGTATACCATTTGGTATATTGGAGTTAAGTGGAGCCCTCATAGTAAGGTTGCATCTACTTAGGACTAGGAGGATGTTTTTTTGCTCATAATTTCCAAGCATAATGGAAGAAAGTAAGGGCGAATTCCGAGGAACCAATTGGGTCCCATGGACTACTTGGATAGGAGGTTGGATGTGTATGGATTATTACCCGTGAATAGTTGTGTATGTATATATATAGATATATATTATATACATATATAAAAAGGAAAGTAATTTATTAATTACTTTTATGGTAACTTGGGTAGTAATATTTAATCTGATGTATATGTTTTATATTTAAATAATAAAAATATAAATAGATTTGATACGTGTTATGTTTCAAATTACTGTATAATATTATGGTAACTTAAGTATTATTGGATAATCTATTAATAAATAATGGAATGTTTATAATTTATTTATTTAATAAACATATACATAAATTATATATGTAACATATTTTTCTTACATTTTTAATATTTTATTTTTTTATTTTTTTTAAGTTGACTTGGATTGGGAAAAGGGTTAGGGTTATTTTATTTAGCCTATAAATATATAGCTACAGGTTGTAAAAGGGGGTTAGAAATATTCACGTGATATATTCTAGAGAGAGAAGGAAGGAAGGAGGAGAAAAACTCTGTAGAGAGAAGATCAAGGAAGAAAAAGTTTAACTTTCGATCCGAAAGTTTAAGGCAAGTTCTTCTTCTATCTCTTTCCCTTTGATTCGTGTTTCTATGCATGCCTAGGAAATTCCAGAATTTATTAAACACATAAAATTAAATAATTATGCATGTTTAATTGGATTAGAACATAAGTTTTATGAAATTGGTTCATATCTGCTCTTGTGTTATGAATTGATAAATGCATGATTTTGATTTGATTTCCAGTGTGAATTTTTATATGTTTACATTATGTATTTTTTCATATCTGTGGAATGATGGAACGTAGAAACATGCCTAGGATTCCTGAACATTAAATAGGAACTAGGTTTGGGTTTAAATAAATTTAAATAGACTCAATCATAATGATGCTTGCTATTTGAATGTTTTAAACAAATGAATGAATTTAATCTTTTAATATGTTTAAGCAATTGAGATTAAATGTGTAGGATGAATTGGATACGGAGAATGCTTATTTGACGGTATAATAAAATATCATCATGTATAAGATTCAGTTTGTGTAGGACATATGATATAGGAAGCTTAAATAAATAAAATAATAAGTCATTCCTATTTTGTGATAACTTGATATCATATTATCATAGTTATTTCTGGATTATTTGATGTATATCCTTAATCGTTACATCAATTGTTATATTATGTGGTTTAATGCACCGGTATGGGACGGTAGCATTCTAGGGACAGATTAACTTATCAGTTAAGTCCCTACCTATTTTATATAAGGGAATGGATTAACTAAAATGTTAAGTCCTACTTATATTCAAGTCAGGTCAGCTGAACAAGTTGAATGACTTATGGAGGATTAATTTATACTGGATAGGATGGTTACTAAATTATATATATATAAGTATGGTGCCATGATATGAGCTTGAGTCTCAGGATCAGTGGTTAGGATGCGTATATTGCCAGGGATGTGTAGCTAGATATAGTGTAGTTGTGTACCCGGGTAGGTCTAGGTACTCATGCCCACTATATGTGCGTTTTGCTTGTTGCCTACTATTCAGGTTGAGACAACCCTATAGTCTAGTGAGGTTCCTTTAGTGTGTCTGTGTATATATATATATACGGACTACTAGTTACTGTTGGATTGACTAGGAGGTATACGTGTATCGGATCTCTGCTTGGACTGAAGTAGAGTAGAACTTGTTTATGGGCCTGACCCACCATTATTTTTCAGGTGTTTGTCAGGAGTAGAGGTTAATCGTGCTGAGCGATGATCAATCTACTTCATTCTTCCGATGCTACATAGGAGTTCCTTTATGATTCAGTTTCCTGATTTAGACAGTTATTGCTGTCATTTGTTTAGTTTGGATTTTCTAGGGGTCCACACAGTATGGATTCCCGAGTTGTATTTTGGAGGATCAGTTATATCAGAAGAGTTTATTAACTAATGGAAATATATTCAGAGGTTTATTATTAGATTATCATTTTAGTTTCTTGTCAGCATTTTATTTATTCTTCTTTATTCTTTTGTACTCTGTGTTCGTTTATCATCAATTTGTTTTGATATCTTTGGGTATTCGGGCGTGGGCCTGGCCAACCCGCATTCAGAAATCCGAGGGTATCACAGCACAGATCAGTAAAAGTTGTGACCCACTACACAACCTCCTGAATTGCAAAACATATTGTTGAGGGCCCTCCGAATTATTAAATTATATATAAATATCTACGAGTAAGGCTAAGAATTTTTTCTTTTACACACAACCCATAAGTGTGCTCTTCCCACCAAAAGAGAGAAAAAGAAGATGGGGTCAGGGGTTACAGATCCACCAACAAATGGGACAGTAAACTAAGAAGTTAAGAAAAAAATTATATATTTAAACACAGAATTGGAGAAAGAAGTAACAGTAAGGAAATTCAAATAACCATCATACCTCAGTGAAGAGGCAAAATTCAGGGCATCGGTTTTCTCCACACCGACCACTGCAAGGCATATAACCAGCACAGCAGACATACCTATGACAGACAAGACAAAGAAATGTTATGCCATAAAGCCACCTGTATCAATTCAGAATAGGAAGCACCATTTACCTTGACATATCATTGTAGAGAGCTCGCTTGCGTAGCATGTATGATGTACATGGGGCACTGTAATGAAGAAAAGGGTAAATTAGTTACACTACAATGGTAGAAGAGAAATAATCATAGAAAGCTCATAAAGTACAAAACAAAGACCAGAAAGCAAGAATTTCAAAGATGGTACCAAATCGAATGAAAAAGATGAAACTGAGAGAATATTCGAAAAATATAATGTTAGGAAAAACATTCAATTTCCTCATTCATTATTATTTAAGGAGCCACAACAGTGTAACATAACAACCCTGTTTGCATCTTTCAAGGATAATTTGATGTTAGGAGCGATATACCACCTAAATTTTGAAACAATTTGGAAATGAACATAAAAAACATTTTGCAACAAGTTTAGAAGGGTTCAAAACATAATATATAATTTAGATGCAGACGCAAGACCAAGTAAACCATCAACTGTGAACATTGGAAGCCTTTTCCTCCAGTCTTGATAATAGAACATTGGGGAAATTGAAAGATTAAATTTCAATAATTGGAATTTGTTAAGACTGATGGCATCAACCAGGACTTGTTTGAATCAGTGAGTCATACATTGATAAGTAACTAGCAGCTATTGGTCGAACACTGATAACAGTATGCTAAACGTCTATTGGTTTTTCAACCAACAAGTTGGAAAGAAAAGTTTCTGAGGTGTTCAATCAGAGCTGATCCTTCAAGTTTTAGAAAATTTTAGCCCATTAGGGGCTTTTGATGCTTGCTAAGGAGTGAGGGCTAACTTCTGCACCATTCAGTAAAAATTGCCATATCAATGACTAATACTGCTAGCAAGACCCTCTCGTCATATGATGAGCTAAGTGGACTCCGCCATTCCATTAAATTGTATTAGACAAGGTTGTGAGAATCAAGATTCTGTCCATAGGATGAGATCGTAGGATTAAATCAAGTATCGCAAGATTCTCGGGGGAAAACCACCATTCTATTAAATTGATGTAGTAGACAAGGTTGTGACTTGTGAGAATCAAGATCCTATATTGGATAGAATAGGGGAGGCCATGTTATCAGATCGTAGGATCAAATCAAATATCGTAAGATCCTAAAAAAAGTGAGAAAAAAAACACTAAACTATAATTACAAAACTACAATATTAAAAACATATGAGAAAAATAGAAATACTATTACAAAGATGTGAAACGTGCATTTACACACAAGTTCATATAAGTAAATTTCATAACGTAGCTCAAAAAGTAGAGCTCTGATGACACGTAATTTACAAGGTTTTATATGGGAAGTTCAAGGTTTAAATTATTCAATTCTAATTTTTCCATATGAAATGTATGTTTTACAGTACCAAAACTACCATTTAATAAATAAATAAAAATCCAGAAAAACTTGTAACACAATCTACTAAGTATCAATTATATAATTTATATATACTGAAATAAACCTAGAAGATTTTGTAACACAATCTACTAAGTATCAATGATATATGCTATAACAACTAACATTATTGATAAAAATATTTGAAATATATCCACTACACAAGTATTTTCAGTTCCACCAAAAAAAAAAAAAAATTATACATGAACATTCCTACTACGAATGCTACTACCCTAAACAATCCTGTAGCGATCCTATCACAGATTCACAATCCTAACTCCTTGTATTTTTCACACTGTACATATTTGGATTGCACGGTGGTGTTATCCTACATTCGGATTGCAAATTGGAAAAACATGGTAGTAGATAAACTTACATAATGGGTACTTTCATAAGCAAGTGGCTTAGAAAATTGAGGTCCTAAGTTCCCTTAAACCCATGAGTTAAGTAGACATTATGAACAATTGATACAGTTGAAACAATGACCAAAACTCAGCTCCTTGGGATTTTGAAATTTTGACCTGATTGACCATCAACTTCCAATTCTTAATTGTGTGAATAATAATATATCCAGTCCATATCACTAGCCAGGACAGAACAGTTCGCTATTTAGCTAGTTGAAGAAAAAGGAAAAGAGAAGGGAAAAAAGAAAACAGTAGAAGAATAAGAAATAAAGAGGTACAATATTAATTCACTTATTATTCATTCCCTAACAATCATAAACTTATATATTGAAGCTTCTTAAAAGTGCAGTTGAACTAGATCAAAGTCAAGTGGAATCCTTAATCCAACAACAGGCAACCACAGATTTTATATTTTACTGCTTCTGAACAGCAGAGGCCCAAAATGAAAAACCACAATTTAACAGGCATCTACAAAATGAATCTCAACTAAAAAAAAAAAAAACGAAGGCAATTGCAATTACATGATCAGTAAATCCATTTGTCCAAACATTCCATAATTCTAAATTCACAAAAGAAAGAAATAAAACACTATCCAGTTCCAAAGAAATAGATCAAATCACTGAAATCAACCATCTTAACAGTAAGTCAACAAGCTCGATTTTTCAAGTATAAACTACACCTGTTAACAATACAAATGCTAAGAGAAGATTCGACAACTCAGATCAAAAAAGCATATTGAATTCTCAATTTGCGACAGATCGCAGCACTTACCAAAAAAATGCAAAGCAGCAATCTACATGAAAAACACAACAACAAATCAACAGATCAGAAAACTAAAAACGAAAAAAGGAAAAAAGGAAACATAATCAAGTAGTAAGATCAAACACAAATGTACGAATCCAGAGAGAGAGTTAGTACAAGGAGTGTCGGCCTGAATTGTGCCCATGAGATCAGTGTGCCAGAGGTTGCGGTAGTTCTGGCGGATCTGCATCTTCTCCAAATGCTCCTGCGACGCCGCCATGGCCACACGATTCTGCTTTCAGACGTCAAATCGAACCCTAGCTTTTCGTATTCGATCGAAACCCTAGCGTTTCGACGACGATGAAGACGAAGAGGCTTTATGGAGTACTCGGGTCTTCAAGGTCAAGGTGTCGTAGACTTCAGACTTGCGAACGAAGTCGCTAGAAAAACGACCTTTGCAAGAATAAAATAATTTGGATAATTTACATCTAGACAGCTAAATTAAGAAACACCTAAATAAACCACTGGAGTTTTGAAAAACTACACAAACTCGCTATTGTTTGGGTGTGCTTCGTGTGAAATGTCCACCTTGTCCTTATAATTATGCCTTTTAATAAAAAGAAATATAAAAAAATCCAACTAAAATGACTAAAATGGCCGTACCATAATGGTCACCCAATAATACGTCAATGTTGTTTGAAAGCCTAATTCAACACTTAAATTTGAACTGATTAAGTTTTTAATTAATTAAATATATTTCATGCCATTTTGAGTGTCACTTAAAAGTCGTGTAAAATAAAATAAAAATTTAAGTGGGTGATGTAATGTTTATCAATATATATATAATTAGTAAACAATGACTTTTTTTCATTGTGGGGCACACCTACGATATAAGGGTCATTACAGACCCATTTATTTTTCAATCTGCTCTCTCTCGGCCAGCTTTAGTCACCTTCTCTCGCTGCCTTTGTATTTTCTTTTTTCTTTTTCTTTTACAACTTCAAATCTTGATTTCTCTCTCAATTTTTGGCGGATTAAGGTGCCGTTTGAGGCAAAACGAAGCCCACTACAAGCTCTACGCATCCATACGAACAATTCCAGATTTGATGCCCTCATTGGAGTTCAAAATTCAAGATCCATTTTAAGGGTTTTGTGTAAATTTGAGGTAGGGACACCTTAATCCACTACCTTCTTGTTCCATTGTAAGTTATATTCATTTATTGTGCCAAGCATGCTTGATTAGAAGTTAATTGTATCAATGATTGTTTTAAATGTTGTCTAGAGAAATTCATGTGTATGAATGTGAGTTGTTTTATGTGTAAAGCATGCTTAAATATATTTTATTGTATCTTAATGTGTTAATAATTACTTAGGAGATGTTGAACATATTGAATGTTTAATTTTATGGTGTAGAATTTTAAATGCCATGACATTGAATGTATGGAACATATATACATGCATATACCATTGGGTTTGCATGAAATGGGAGAAATTGTTCTTAAAATAAATATGGGGAATTTCAGGGAAGTGTTTTTGATGAAATGGTTTTATGTGAAACCCGGTCGCTGCGGGGTTACCAACGGGCCGGAGGTTAATATATCCTAGAGGGGACTAAGGAGTCGCCCTAGCGTGGTTGAGCTAACTGGGCCCCATAATGACGCCGCGGGGTTACCAAGGGTCAGGGACACTAACCAATCCTCCTCTCATGTCACGGCGGGGCTACCAAAGGGCGAGCTGTATTAACAGTTTAGAAAATGATGTTTTGGATTATGAAAATGGGGAGCGACACTAGTATGCATTGTATCTCATTGCATTGTGCGATACCCCTCGGATCCGAGACACGGGTTGATCAGGCCCAAGCCCAAACCCGAGGGAATATCAAACAATTAAAGTATTTTAATACGAACACAGATGACAAAAAGGAACAATAAAGATAGAATAAAGCTGAAAGAAAATAATAATAATAAAACCCTCCATGTAACTGAAAATTGAAACTCCAATCCTCCAAAACTTCAAGGTTACAACTTGGGAATCCACTGGTGGACCCCTAACCAAAAGTTCAACTGAAACTAAAAACTGAAAATAGATAATGCTATAAACATCGAGAAAAGTCCTACGTAATCAGATGAATGTGAGACTGTCCTCGACAAGCACGATCAAGCTCTAAGGCTGGAACCGTCCTGTACCTGAAAAGAATAATGAAGGAGTGGGTCAGACCCACGAGCAAGTTCTAATCTAACTACAATCCATATAGTGACCCGATACACAGATACACCGTAGACATCTCACAATATTTATCTAGTCCATACGTATAAATATATCCACACTAAGGGATATTCACTAGTCTATAATAGGGGTCTCGACCTGAATAGGAGGCAACATGCGAATACGCACCCAAAGGTGGACATGAATACCTAGACCTAATAGGGTACACCTCAACCTTTTATAACCAGCTGCGCATCTACTGCATATACGCACCCTAACCTACGAGTCTGAGACTCAAGCTCAACTCGTGGTACCATAAACATATATATAAAGTCCGTCCAAATCCAGGGTATGCAATTCAACTATTTATTAAACTGACATACAATAAACCAACTAGTTAGTCACTCAACTTATTCAGTTGATATGACTTAACTACCATCCGTTAATCCAGGAAGTCATCCAACTTGGTTACAGCTGATCTGACTTAGTCACAATTAGGATTCGATAACTTTCAATCCATTCCATTAATCCATTAGGTTAGGTTTATGTATTTTGAGCTAAACCGTCCCTAGTATGACACCGTCCCATACCGGTACATACAATCCTCCATATCTATGTAAATTACAACACATATATAACAATGTAGCAATTTATAAACCAAAACTAATATCCAAATAATTGCAGAAAGAATATTACAATCTAGCAATTAAAATACAGTATTAATCCATGTAATTGCAATAAAGAATTTAACATTCTAACAATTCACCTCCAGTGCATGCATAGTTCGAGTTTAAACATAAAATGATCTATCATGCATTCAAAATAAGAATTAAAATCTTATTATACTCCATAATGTTGCCTAAAGTTAAGCTAATCAATTGGATTCTTTACAACATATAAACAGTATGCATAATTTTATGCTTCCCATTGTTGTATCCTTTAACACGGTGACATAAACCATCTAAACAGAAGCTTAATTAACACTTACCACTTGAATTAAGTAATCCAGTATACTCTCAACTCAGTTCAGAACAAGTTAAAACCCCTACAGTCCAAACAGTATTCCAAAAACGACCCTGTACGCATCAAAATGGAAGAGCCTGCTCTAAAACTTTGGAGCAGGCTCTTTTTAGAGCATGGAGCCGGCTCTAAACATCATAGAGCCGGCTCTTTTAGATGGGGGAGCCGGCTCCTTCCATTGTGGAGCCGGCTCTCTCCTCTTTGAGAGCCTACCGTCCGTCTGTTCTTCGTTTTAGTTTCCCCGCTTCATCACTGGGTTACTCATATCACTCTGTGGGTTTTTAGAACAAATCAAGAAGCCTTAATTAAGCCTAGAATCATCTCCAAGATTTGTTTACAATATTGGAAACAGTTACAGAGTTTAAACTAAACCATTGAACTAGCATGCTTGAAGGGCAACACTATAAACAATTTGCAATATCAGTTATGATCCAACCCATCTGTTTCTCTTCACCCCTGCACCCAGGAGTCTTATATCATCCCAACAACATCTCCATGATCCGTTTACAGAAGATAAAAACAAGTATGATAATTAAAACTACAACAGAGTTTAACATGTTTTACTAAATAGAACTGAAACAAACATGCACCACCTGTAAACATATTTGATTTTCAAGCAACCAGATCATCAACAGAGCATATAATAAACACGTAAGTTTCAATTATTAATTAGTTCATCCCTAGAGATAATCTAAGTGCACAGAACACGAGCCAAGGGAAGGAGGAAGATAAGAACTTGCCTGTACAGTTTTATAAACAAAACCTTGTCGCCGTTGTTCTAAGCTTTCCGGCAACCACTGACTACCTTCTAGCCTTCTCTGGTTCTGATCTAATCCACCAAAATCCTCCCTTGGTCCTCTCTGTTATTCTCCTTGACAGACCGTTATGATGCTCTGTTCTCTCAACTTCTCTCTTTACAGAACCAAGACTTGTTTTTCTCCAAACCCTTAACCAACGAAATCACCATATTTATAGACGTACAACCCTAAACCCTAATCCTTGTTTAATTAGAGCCAAAGCCCTAACATAAACCTTAGTCGGCCCATATACAAAACCTACGTCTAAAGTGTCGGCATTATAAACATACGTAAGTTAAAAACCTAAAACTATCATTACAAAAATAAAATAAAACAGTGAATGCACAAAAACATAACATCATTAACAATTCAACTCAAATACCATTTAATAAACCCAACCAATCAATAAATCAATTCAAACACACCAAATAAATAAACAAAGGCAAGAAATCAATTAAACAACCAGAAAAACCAATTAAACAAATAATTAATAATTAAACAAATAAAAATCCAATAACATAATAAACAAAACTACCGAGACTATCCTTTTAAAAATTAGAGGTATTACACATTGCATTGGATATACTTGAGATTAAATCGTTATGCTGTATTGTTTCCCGACATTGTATGATCCCCATTTCCCAATGGCCTATGCTTTGTTTGGATTCACAAGGACACAAGATGTGTGTCTTAAGTGTCACCTACTGAGCTTTATGCTCACCCTACTATTTATATTTTTTTTTTCAGGTCTTGGAAATAAACCGGTGGACGACAATCCACCTCAAGTTTGAAAGTTGTTTGCTATTTTGTATTTTGACCATGATATGTATATTCATAGTTGTGGAAATGTAACTAAGTTAGTATTCATGGCCTTGTAACTTAAGAACGAACTTATCTTTTGTTTGATGTAAATGAAACTAATGGAATTATGGTATATATTTCCATGCAATTGTATCATATAACATTGTAAGACAGGGACTTTAAATCTTAACCATGTATTTCGGGACTGTAATTATGATAATTTAGATTAATTGGTGTGTGGATGTTCCACCATGAGAGAAACTATGTTGAGGTATAATGAACGGATGAATGGGATGCTGGAGTATGTTATGTGTTTTGTGTATTGGGACAGGTTGTTGAAGGACCATTTTTAGGGGAGGTTATGCCGAATTTTTTTAAAAATTTTGGCATCAGCTTGGGTCGTTACAAATTTGGTATCAGAGCCCATGGTTCGAAAACCATTAGGACGACGGGTAGAGGCCTACATAGGATTGCGTGGGGTGTTGATTTCATTGTGTATTAACTATTTGCTACTTGCTTACTACTTGAACAAGCACGCTTAACTGCTTATGTGCTTACGTGCTTAAATGTCTATGGTAAAATGTTTCTTGCATGGTTTTGCATGCTAAGTGTCATTACGACATCATTTCACGTTGAGTTGTCTGTAGTGGACTTTAGT